TTAACCCCCCCCCCCCCCCCCAAGCCAGGGCCTTTGTGGCATGGAGGCTGCCTTGTTGCCTCTTCTGGAGGTAGCCGGACGCGGCCTCCGGGCCCGTTGATCTGCGTTAGGTTTAGGGCTTGCGAATTTACGAATTTTAAGGCTTAGGGCTTGGGGGTTTAGGGCTTCGAGTTCATACGGATTTAGGGTCAAGAGCTATAGGGATTTGGGGATGGAACTTTCAAAAGGGATGCCAATTTGGAACCCCTCTGGCAGTCTACACCAAAAGGACCCTCCCCCATAGAGTATAAAGAACCCCTGTTGATCTGAGGTCGAGGTTGATTATTTAAGACATAACTTGTTTGTGGGCTTGGCTTTCGGGCTTTGGGCACAAGGCCACTGTTTCTCCCCCCATTTCTGCAAACCTCCCCCCATTTCTGCAAACTGCTCTGTGGGCGCGCTTGATGGCATTCATCGGACGACGCTTCCAAAAGGAGGGCCGTGTTTATTTCACGAAGTCAACACATGCTCTGGCTGTGACTGCGGACTTACTGCCCTGAGGGTGTAAGGGCTTTGGTGGCTTCACTGCCCGGCGGTAAAGAAGGGTTTGGTGAGTTGGCCAGCGCTCTTACACACCCCAAGCCCAAGAATCGCAATCGCGGTGATTCATGTCTTACAGGGCATGGAGACTCAGAGCACAAATGCAAGCTTCTATGTGACTGGTGCTACGCGTAGCAATGACAGGAGCACTCGAAGAGCAGCATAGGCTTCTAAACAGAGTTTTCTAAATCAAGTACTGGCCCAGCCTTTACTAGTGTCAGGGTTTCGAGTTCAGGGTTTAGGGTTGTAGGGCGCAGGGCTTTCTGTCAAAGAACAACTGCGGAGGTAATGAGAACCCAGCCTATAAAGCCTCGCAGGAACTCGGGCGTCATGGTTTAGGGGATTGCTCCACAGAAAGCAGCTGGGTCCGTGGCCCGTGAAAGTCTCACCCGATACCCCATACCAACCATGTTTATAGTATGGGCATGATTTCGTATGACCTGATAATGTCGCCTGCGTCTCCGGCTCGGAGAAAGCGCTTGGCCCAATGAATACCTGGAGTGCTGAAGATATTAGGAGGTAGGGTTTCGGGATTAGGCTTCAGGGTAATCCTCAGAGCTTGGGAACCGTGAACCCCGCCCCAGACCCTGTAACGACCCTCTACTTTCGCCGAAATACCCAGTGCCATTGTTTTTAAGGCTCAATAGAAGGATGCAGAAGGCGGTACTTTTGGGTCCCGGGGGTATGAATCCCGACAACCCTTCACTCCAAACCCGAAGCAACCTTCAGGTCGATTGAAAGCTGGAGTAACCCTAATTACCTGTAGTCTCCATTGTAGTTTGTTTTGGGGGATACATTATAAAAATCCTTAGTATATAATTGGTTAAACCTAAAAGAGGAACTACAATGGAGACTATAGGTAGCCCTGAACTCTGCCTACTTGAGCATGCGATTCACTGGCGAAGGCGCTTTGCACTCTCAGTTTGCACTGAAGTTCGTTCTTCTTGAAGCTTATGCTGACAGGGGTCAAAAGCCTAAACTCAAGAACATATGCCACTTTCCTGGGTTACACCCTTCATATCCAGAAAGCCATGACTTAACCACTGATTGGTTGCATTCCAGAACAGCGACCCATCACCAGCACTCTTGAAGATCACAGGCACACAAAGTCGCAGACTTAGGTCGGACCTACACATCTCATCCCCAAACTCTCACAACCAATGTGACGGCCAGACCTCCGTGCAGGGGCTGTGCAGCATTTGGTCCTCAGTTGAAAAGTCTCTTCTGCATGTCTGCGGCTTTGGGTTCGGTGCAGACACAGTTTAATGACATCCTTCCTTGACAAACAACTATAGCGGGGATCCATATTATACTGAGGCCTCAAAGAAGCCATTAATCCTAACAGTTCATTCGTTAGCGGTCTGCAGCAAGAGATCAGGCAATAAACTCAAAGCCCTGGACCCTCAACTCTCGACCCCGAGCTGCCTGAAACTCTAAAACACTAAAGCCGATAAGCTCTCGATTCTAAGCCAGGGATGCCCCAAAGGTCAGAACCCTAAATCTTGAGCCTTGCACCCTAGACTGCAAGAATCACCCCAAAACGAACCACAACGCTGACGTGCCACACTGCAGAGCAAGAGCTGGCACAGCAGAGTGATTACTAAGCACTGACTGGAACTTGCCCACACGAGCTCTCATCAGGTCTGATGAGACCTGAGGCGTACGCTTCAGGATCTATGCGACGAGAACTTGGAGACGGTGTCAGTGAGTCGAACGGACTGGCCGCAAAACCCAAAACCAAAAGATTTGTTCGCTGTCCTGTACTGAGGCTCGCCTTCTCTTGCGGTCCATCTGCTGGCTGCAAGGGGATGCCAAGAGATAGTGAACCAAGTTCTATGCAGATCCTTCGTCATGCGATCCGTAATTTTCAAGGACCTCTACACCGGGACCGCTGTAAGACCCTATCACTCGTCCCTGTTTTGTGCATCAGATGCAATACTGCAGTCGCTCGTACTCCGCCGCTCGGAGCTTTGTCCATTCAAACTGCGGCCCCTTGCTTCCCCAGGTCACCTGGCGCACCAAGCTTCCGTAGATTTCTTCGCTTGCTGGTTCTCCGAATTCACGGATCATGAGCCCAGTGAACACGACGTCATCTGGACTTTCAATCAGCCACTCCAGCTCAGAATTCGTTTCGAAGTTTGAGTCCATGCGAAGATGCTCCGGCCAATACTTGTTCCCCAAGGATCCAGGCTTCACTACGAATGAGCCCGGACGAACACGACACTCAAGAACAAGCTGTGCCCAATGTTTGAGGAGCTGGATTTCAAAAAACGTTGCATAGACTGGAAAAGCAGCATACTCAATAGATGGAGTGACATAAATGCTGCAGCGGCTCTTGCTGTGAGCCTGACCGTGTGCAACACTGACCCCTTCATCGCCTGGCCTTCGGAGTCCACGCAGCATTATGGATGCTACATTGAGGCAACTTGTCCCGTGATATGCGATGCACCGACCTGAATACTCTTCGAAATTGCCGATTGCCAAAGAGCACCTTCGCCATCCGCATGGCTTGAAGTATGGGTGTCCTCCTCGCTGACCGTAACATGCAGGACTGAAAGAATACAGCCGAGTGAACTTTGGATCAAAAAGTAGCTTGCTCTTGATATCTTCCAGGAGTTGGTCGATGTAAGAACCCTCGCGATGCTCCTCAAGCATCCTAGTGAGAACCGTCATGAGCGCTGCATGCGTGCGAGACAATATCGGGCTGTCAGCTAGAGCTGTTTTCACCTTTTCCTTTTGCAAGCTTCTGTTGCAGGAAAGCCACAACAAGAACTCCAGGTTTCCTGTTGCTTTAAAATAAGTGCGCTGCGTTGTCTCCAAGATAAAGTTTCCGCTGTTTCCGAGGCAAACATGCTTCAATGTGCTGGCCTCCAAACTCCTCAGCGATTCTGGAAACTCATATTCTGATGGTAAACTCCACTTGCAAGCGCCGTCGTTGAAGAACACACACCAACCAGTTGGACGACCCAGCGTAAGATGTTTTACCTCCCTAGGAGACTTCGCCACTAAGTCTTCCAAATCCTTCGGTAAACCGTGCCAAAACGGCTCGCCTTCGACCCGCTGAACAAAAAACGACTCCTGCGGGCCGAAGGCAACCCAGGAGATCTGCATCTTGCCATCAGTGTCCTTCGTGGCGTGCAGTGCTGCCACAAATAGATCGGACACGTTGCCCCAAAAGGTTGACCGGTCTTGATCATCGTAATTGAGGAACCACTCCCCTGCTGGACCTAGCACGACTTGGTGAATGCTAAGGTTACCGCGATTCTCATCCAGCAACTTTTTCAGTTCGTCTGGATCATCACCGCTGCAAAAGTCCGCGGGCGAGGAATCGGAATCAAAGGACAGAAAGAAGGACAAGTCATCTTCGCCAAAGGCAACGCTGCTGGGACGCGCTTGGATGTTTGGCAAAGGCATGGCTGTCATTCTGACTTCGGTGCAATCGGAGTGTCCCACATGGGGCAATGCTTTCGGGTACACTGAAACGTGTCGCCTGCGGGTCCGGGCGATCCACTGTCAGGGTAAGTAAGAACCACCTATACTTTCAGAATTACAAAAGAAGCATCAGAGCTCACTGCATGCCGAGGAGGAAAGGAGGCCCTACTGGACAAACCCTTCACTGCCTTGAGCAAGGTTGGTGGCTCGGGCGGGCAAGCGAAGCAGAGTTGCATCTGTCTGTGCTCCCGGCAGTAAACTTTCCATGTCATCAAAACGAAGCAGATTCAACGCCGACAACAAAATGTCTACTGTAACCTGAATCTTACAGTCTGAGCAAACCCCAAACCATGAACACCGCGCCACTTGAACGCCCTACTTAACTGTCCCAGGCACGTAGTATGCATCGTTTGTGACGCCAAATGTAAGTCCCCAGTTTCTGTTCGCGTCCTTGGCCGATCAGACAGATGGCCTGTGATTCGACATCAGTCCGAAATCTAGAAAGCCTGCCTGATTGAAGCCCAAGCATTGAAGCCCTCAAGCTCGAACAGCAGCTTCTTAAAGCCCTCAACCCTACAGTTCTAAAGCCCTAGACCCTAAAACCTCGAACACCCGCTTCTACAATACACTAAGCCCTGGAGCCTTCGTCGAAGCACCGACTGAAAGGCGTGGGCACTGTAAAGCCATGGACCATGGATCTCACATAAAACCCGGGGCCTTCTCACTGGTTAACTAAGGCTTCAGGGGTGTTTTCCGATGGAGCATGGGAGTTGCCATGAGGGACTTGTGTAAGAACTTTCCGGCCCGAAAGGCCCTAGCACATAATATTTAAAGAGACCGCTCGACTCCTACATCCTTAGACCCCAAACTCTAAACACACAATGAAGAAGTTGATAACTGTGGCCGAAGTAACAACGCCGGCAACATGTCCACGGCACAAGTAGTCCGTCCGATTGCTCCTGTTCGGGTCTATGGATCTCGACTCTAGGGGGACCGGGGTATTGCCGTCCGACCCCTGCCCCCTTGTCGTGGGAAACTCAAATCCTGCCGAAAGCTAGAGGCGAGCGAAACGTGACGGACACGAGGAAAATTTCAAGAAGCTCCAAGACCTTGTCCGCCTTTCTTGTAGCCTACAATTGGAAGTTTGAAAGAGAGGGACCTCAATGATTGGAATCTGATTCTGGGGAATCATGTTAAAGAAGCCCTAGGGCCCTAGGGGACAATCATGTCCGTAATCGTTGAAGCTTCTACCTTATGGGTTCAGGCCCAACAGCTGCAAGACCGACCCTGAGTACGAAGCCTAGCTTGGCACACGGATTCTCGCCTCGTCTTTCGCCACATTCGATTCACCTCCCAGGAGTAGACGTAGCCGTCAGGATTCACCGGAACCAGCAGGGTGAAGACGAAGTCCTCCAGAGTTAGGGGTTCGGTCTAGGCTGCGGTGGTTTAGGTTTCGGCTATTGTTTGGGTTTCAGCGATTATTAGGGTTTGGGGCCTACTAGCTTAAGGCTGTAGAGTGTGGCAGTGGTGGGGTTCTGAGGATTCCGAAACCCTCACCCCTGCTAAGGGCGAAGCAAGGCCTGTAGCGCGCAGGGTTTGTCCCCGGCTTGGGAGTGTGTTGTCTCCGTATTGCGGACGGATCCTATGGGGGTTTGAATGCCAAGTAGGGCACTGGATGGCATCTTACTTTGCAAGATACCTTTGTGGAGTTCCATGAATTTCAGGTCCTCGGAACGAGTGCTGTGGGGCATTCAGGCAGTGCTGAAAATTCTGCATGAGGATCCTACCCTGTGCCCCCAACAAAGACAGGTCCAGTATCGCCTGAGGCCTCCAACCTAAGAAATGCGGATCCTCCGTCCTGAGGGCAAAGCTACATTTTGGGTTTAGGCTCTTGTTCCCTCTCGCTGGAACATCTTGGGTTTAGGGTTTCATTTTTCAGTATATTGAGAAACACATCTGAAACCCAAGCTGTACACAAACCCTGAACCGAGTTTCCTGCAAGTACTTTTGCACTTCGGCAGAGCTGGACTCTCGCACGAGCGCGCCTTCGCGGGAAGCCAGGACCAGAACAGGAGACTTCTGCTACGGTAATTCTAACCATGCCGAGCTCTGCATGAGAGTGGCTGTTGACTGTCGGCTTTCTCTCGAATACAGGCTTTGTAGAGCAAGGATGAGTAAAGGATTTACGGGTTCGGGGCTAGCGTTAGCGAAGTTGTTGCCTGCTCGCGGTATGTCTCCGGCACATGCATGCCTCAGAATTCTTCTGTTTTGACGAGTCCCACCCTTGCAGGAGACATCTGCACACGCATGCGACAATACGGGGCCTCTGGACCTGAACCCCGAAGAAGTAAACTCCTGGCTATGACACAGGTTCTCTCTACACTTCCGCGGAAACCGCAGACTTGTGACTTCTGACTATGCAGGACGGACAAGGCGTGACACCGGTCCACGGTTTAGGGCGCCTGAAGCCTACTGACATCCTTCAGCTTTAAATCGCTTATAGGGCCATTTATTTAAAGGATGCGTGAAGCACCCCACCCGTAGCAGTTAGCTCCGACGACATGGAAGGTACTTGCAGCAACGAGCACTTGAAGGGTCGTTCGAGTAAAGCTTTTTGCAGCTATCCATGCAGCTTGGAGCTTGAGATCTACTCAAACCCGTCAAAGCCCCACCAAAGAAGCCATGCGGCGCTCGCGAACACTAGATGTGAACCCGGCTAGCAACTACCCCACGAAGCTCATGGCACTCCACCGCATGGGTTGAACATTACTGCCACCTCGTGGCTGGTGACTTCAACATACTTAGTGAGGAAGGTGGGAATGGAGTCGAGACGAGCGGTGTAGGCTGGAAAACTTCCGAGGCCTGCGATGTACAGAACCGCAGCAGGTGCAATCCACTCTCCTTGGCAGAGGCCAGGCTCCACCCATGGAAGTTCTTCGACCCCGACATCCCAGGATCCCTCAAGCCTTCAGAAGATCAATATGAAGGTCTGGCTTGTGTCCATCAGCTTGAAGCTGCCGAGTCTCGTTGCTGTCATTGCTGTGATCGCTATTGCATGCTAGTGGCTGCTAGTGCGGAATTGCTGCAGTTATCATCGAGAGTAGCTGCAACAGTAACAGCAATAATCAGGAAGTTGAGAAAGATACCCCAAATCCAAGCGTCGTGCGTGGATGCCACCCTCCAGGAAGATGCACGGCTTGTCCTAAAACGGACTTGAGGATTCGGGGAATAGGGTTTAGGGACATACTGTACTCGTGAAATTACAAAGGGCCGCTTAAAGGTATCTTGTGTACTATGTGTATATCTTTACTCATTCAGGCCCGTACATTAATTGGGAGGTAAGCTTACTTCCGGCCCGGCTGCGGCGACATTTCCAGAGTGGTGGTCGGTGATTTCAAGCACCTGAGCCGGACAGGGCTTGGGAACTCAACACTCGCAACTGCACCAGAAGGGTTTGGAGCTTACGGGTTTTAGTTTGCTGGGCGTCCAGGGATTTAGATCCCAGGGAGTTAAGTTGCGTCTTGGAGGGTGGGGGCCTTTGGGGTAAAGTCTTTTTGGTTGGGGTCGGGATTCATTCATGGTGTCGGGTCGAAGTGCGTTTGTGCGCCCTGAGTCCCAAACCCCAGGTAATACATCAATATGTGTATGCATGTGTATATACATATAATATACCTGTTTATGTATGTATGTATGTATGTATGTATGTATGTATGTATGTATGTATGTATGTATGTATGTATGTATGTATATGTGTGTACATGCATATAATGATATATATATATATACATAAATGCACACATGCAAAATACCGAAAACACATGCTTACGTATACCACAGCTAACGATGCAAATCAAGTACATTACCCTAACCCTCCAGGTACCTACTATATAGGGCCTTAGGGGCTCTAGTACCCTATATAGTAGGTACCTGGGGGGTTAGGGTTATACATACATTGAAATCGTATAGCTATCTACAGCTGTACATCGCTATATGAAACCATGTGCATAGCCAGGTATGGTATACATAAACATATGCGTTTTCTGTGTTAATCGGTGTGCACATATTCATACATGTGTATATATATATAATATACATGCACATATATACGTATATACGTATATAGCATATACTTGTAGATATCTACACGACAGAATCTCCGGCAAGGACGAAGCGCCTGAAGAGGTCTTCCCTCCCAAGAGCGCCCGATCTCTCGGAGCCTGATTGCAGAGCTTCGATTCGATTTTTGTCGCATTCAGAGCCACGGTTGAGGCTTGAGGGTTTGGGGCTTGAGGGATAATTTAATAAGGGTCCTACAAAGATTTTGTTTTGTGGGATGGCCACAGAATAGTGAAGAGAGGACAGCCTGAGGTCTAAGTTCTGCAGGGCTGGAGTGGTGTAGGGTGCTTTGGGGTTTAAGGATTTAAGTTTCCTGCTCGATGGGTCTCCTTATACAGTCTTCAAGCTTCTGCGGAATTTGGGCTCCAGGTCCTGTAGTGGCTGAGATGACATTTTTTCACAAGGGACCTCGACTGCTGCCCTTGCTGCCCAGCCGATACTCATGACCACTTTCTGAATCGGGCGACGTGGTTAAGCCGGGTCAGAGGAGCTTCACAAGATAAACGGAACCCCGAATACAACCCAAACCCTGACCTAATCCTGGCTTTTGTTGGGGAGAGACTCTTAGCTTGCCCTCGTGAAGTCAGCCCGGCACGCCTGTGCTGAACCCCTAAATCCTACATCCTATAAACCCCCAGCCCCAAACACTCAACCCTAAATAACAAGCAACCGGCATCTCTGGTTCCAGGCACACCTTCAGGGACTCATAGTGTGTTTGTAGGATTCATACTTAGTCATACTTAATGTGCTGATAGTATCATATACCCCCAAGTCTAGCGTGTTCTAACTAGTAGGGCTCCTACATTTCCACTACAAGCTTGTGGTATCATATACCGCGAGACCCTGGTTCTAAGTCGTATGGGCCCCTATATTTCCGCTTGCGGGATGCAGGATGCGAGATGTGCCAAGGAACACCACGAATCGGGGATTCTCCTGCGCCAACTTCGCCATGAAGCCTCGAACCCAGAAACAAAGTTTATGTTTAGGGTTCAGGGTTTTAGGGTTTTGGGGTTGAAGGTTTAGGGTTCAGGGTTTAGGGGTTTAGGGTTTAGGGTTTAAGGGTTTAAGAGTTTGGGGTTCAGAATAATGAAACCAGGAAACTCGTTCATAGTAACCTCGGGTGATACTGATTATAGTTTGCATTGTATTAATGCCGTTCTGATCACTATGCTCACGATTTCCATCTTTGGGTACTGTGGCTATTTTATTAAAGAGTAGCCCTACAAATCCTGTAGTTGAGAAGCATTTGGAGGTTGTGGGGTTGGGGCTTCAGGGTTCTAGGGTCTTGAGCAACATGCTTTGCTTTCGGGTTGGACTCTGAGGAAGGCACCACCTATCCAAGCATAAACGGGCATTCTGGAATTCTGGGCAGGACCGGGGCCGTTGAACCAAGGTCGCATGTGCTGTTTAGGGTTTACTGTAGGGTTTAGGGTTTAGGGTTCTGGAACAGACATGGTTGTGGGAAAGTCCAGCGCGACAATGCGGTCTGAGAACAAAGGTCCCAAGCCCGTGCTGGTTCTCAAGTGTTGTGCGCAGATTACCTTTGAAGACTGCAGCAGGAAACATGACGCCAAAAAAGGCGGGCAGCAAAGTCTCAAGCAACATAGAAGACGCACTTGTGCAAATCCTCCAATCATCGGAAGCTGCGATGTCCAAGCCAAGTTTGGGAAAGTCCATGGGTTGAGGGGGGCTTAACTAGCAACAAGGCGCTTCTAGGAGCACTTTGTAATCTTGAGGGTCCTACAATTTAGGGTATGTTAGGTCAACATCCAGCTCTGCAGCCAAGCAGCGGTTGATGTCATGCCTCAGCAGTACAGTGCTTTCAAGTGTTGGCCAACATCACCTCCCTGGGCCCGCAACACTTCCTAAAGCCACCAGTAAACCCTAAACCCCGAAAAACTAAATTCCAAACCTTTACACACGCACTCTAAACACCCCCTCAGCTCTGCCCCCGTCAAGACTCAAGATTTTTTGGGGAGGGACTCTTCGCTTCCCCTAAACCACCCAAAAGCCCTAAAGGCACTTTGAACCGGCAGACAAAAAGGCCGACACCCTAAAGCCCCACCTTCTTCGACCACGGACTCACAAGCCCCCTTCCCTCCTTAAGGGCCTGGAGATTTGTATCGCTGTCATGACTCATGACCCCTTTTAAAACGGGGGGGTGGCAACGTAGTCGCAAGCATAAACCGCCCTAATTAAGGGTCTGTCCAGGGTCTGTGTACCCATACAATACATACTGTGCGCATAAGGTAAACCTATATAACATAGCAGCCCTTTTCAAGGCCAAGTGCATACTGTATGGCCTGCATGGCTACATGAACCCTTAAGGCAGCATAAACCCCGGCCCTTAGAAGGCAACACAATACACTGAAACGCGGAGACCGCATAGAACCGCAGCTCAGAAGCAGGTTCCGGTAGTCTTTGAAGAACTCAGTGGCATCTCCTGCTGCCGGAACTTCGGGTTTAGGGCTTCAAGCTTTCGCTTTAGGCCTGTGGCGGATGACGCCCAGGATCCAGGATCCGTGGTTCAAGGATGTAGGTGTTCGGATTTAGGCTTTAGGACTCGCGGCATGAAACGTGTCATGATAGACCTGAATGCATGAAACGCGAAGCCCTGAACTAACACCGGAGCTCTGCAATCGACTGCCCCCACGAATCAAAGGCTCACGCTTCGTCTGTTCAAATGCTGCTCTTAACCCCTGAACCCCTGTATACCCTCAAACCAAAATCTGAATGCTTTATGCCCCAATCCTACAGTGCTCCTACAAAGCCTTACAGGACCCTCAAGCATCCAAAGCCTGAAAAGCCCAAAACCCTAAAAACTTAATTCAAGCCTTCAGACCCTCATCTTGTATTCACTCAACCCTAAACCCTAAACCCTAAACCTCACAAGCAAACGAAGGACACTAACCACCGTCCTGACCAAGGAGTTGGCGGAGGCCGATTCTGCTGGTTTGTCTGGTAGCAGTTGTTGCCGCTCCTCGGTATAAGACGAGGCGAACGCAAAGCCCTGCATTCCTTCGATGGTTAAAGTAGAACTAACCCTGAACGCCACAAACCTTAAAACTAAACCCTGAACCCTTGCATAAATCTGTAGAGCCCGTAAAGCCAGGATCTTAATTTTGGGGCCCCCTGAGTAGACTCTACAGGGCTGTGCCGACCTAAACCCGAAACTACAAAAACCCGACAACCCTAAACCGCTCCTTCCTTCACTGGTGTAGCGAGCCCGGCGGTGCAGGTCTTTCAAACAAGCATCTTGTCAAAAACTGTGAAATCCAATCATAAGCCTGAGCCCAAGTGGACAACCGCCACCCATAACTGCCGAAGAGCCTATCATTGTCGGGTAAAGTCTCGTTGTTGGCAGTGACAGTCTGTTGCAGGTTCAGATAATGTAGGACTTTAGGATGAAATGTTTTTGCGCTAGAGAATCAGACGCTGACCAGGAAGCCTCTGCACGGCCTGCGGATACGAAACCCTAAACGTTAAATCCCCAGATCGCCAACCCCACATATCTTAATCCTACATCCTAGGCCCCCATGCCCCGAGCTCTTGCCAAAGCACCATGGCACCACCAGCGACAGGCGACGTGCACCGGGCGGTGGCATCAGAAGCTCCTACGGCCCTTCTTGGCCTTACCCGACGACGTTTTGAAGTCTTCACAGTCGGGGTCTCTGCGCGATTCGCAACCCTATTCGTGGCTAGGTAAGCCCGAAACTGTTTCAGATTCAGACGGTGACCTTTGGGGCTTTGGGTTAGGGGAAGACTTCTATTTGCAGGTCCGTGTGTTTCCAAGCTTTGCGGCTTCACCTACTGCCGACTGCAGCCGAAAGGTATATTGCGCGTGCCATGTGAGCTCCATCCTTGCTGCAAGCGAGCGAATTGCCAACATGCCCGCAATCATAAAAAGGAATCCCTCTATCGGGCCTTGTACGCCAAAAACGCCATCATGAGACCTTTACTTAATATTCCTTTTCTGAGGAGGGTTTATCGGTCTCTTCGGGCCATACACAGTTGAGGTACTGATATTGAATATCGTCCATTCGAAAATATCATTACATAATATACCCCGCCAGAGACACTATCGTAGTCTTAGTGTAGGGCTAAGACAGGACAAAGGCCAGGCCAGTCTACAAGACGTGAAACTCAACAACTGGACGGAAGGTTTGGTTCGTGTGTTATACTGCACAAGGTTATAAGGGTGTTCTACGTTGTAAGATTATAAAACCTCTAGAATTTCAGAGTTTAGGGCTTCAGTGAAGCCCTAAACTCTCGGCTTCAGGGCTCTGGGCTTAAGACTAGGGCCGACGCCAAGAGCCATAACATGCCTTTCAATGATATCGAGATTCAAGGGTGTATCGCATTTAAGGACTGCTAGGGGAATGGGAAGGGATTCGTTTTTGGTTTTGCTTGCTGAGTACCATCACCTGGAGAAGATTGGGGTAGCAACAGAAGCCATAGAAGCGACCCGAAGAAGCAGCCACAAAGTATACACTACCGCCCTGAGCCCTCTATCTCAAGCTCCAAGTACCCCAAGCCGGCAAGTGCGCGACCAAGTAGAGCCCGATCACCACGGGCAGGGCACCAAGAGTGTTGGCCGCAGGTGCCCTGCGAGTCAGACATCGAAACTGCCGTGCCATAGACCCTACCATGCCAAAAAAAACCGATGTATACGGAGTTAGCTGAGATAACCATCTGTGGATGTTGAAACGCATCGAAATTATGCGTGTTGTCTACACTGCCGAGTATACTACCCTGCACGCTAAGACCCACTCGCGTATCAGCTCAACTCTCTTATCAAACCTGACATTCCGTAAACAGAAAATGAGCAGTGATGTAGGGATCATAAAAAATAGACTAAGGTTTTGGGTATGTTTCAGTATAGTCAGAATGCTTGGAAACCCAATGGAATCATGTTGGGAACTACTTACGTCCCTATGCGACAGCCTTACACTCAAAACCTTCAAAAAACTTGGGGCCGCAGCACGAGGACCTCTCGGAGCTGCGGTGCAGCCTTAGATCTTGGGCAGCAGTAGTGGGATGCCTAGGGGTCAGTGCGTGAAGGGCACGAGGACTTTGAAGATGTTTGGGTTTAGCACTGAACATCCCTAGTTCCTTGATCTTCCCCTGTACCTGTGGTAGTTGATTCTTGGAGAGTTGGGGACGATGGGGCTTTTAGGGCCTTCGCAGGCTTGGTGCGAGTTTTCACTTGGATCTATTCCATGCCATGCTGTGCCATGTCATGCCATTCTATGCGGTTCCATGCCGTAATGCCATGCATGCGCACGTACCTGCGTGCTTCTTAATTTGCAAGCATGGTATCTCTTTTGCAAACAAACACGCATCTAAACAAGGAGTGCTAATTTCCGTCACGCCCACGAACCAATAGATGAGCACAAACATGACCAGTCGGTCATGAACTTCTCAAACCGCTTCCCTCGAACTTTTTCGCCAGCGGGCGCTGCGCAGCAGCAAGGAGAGACTTGCGCTAGCCACGGGCTGCAATACCTGCACCATGCATAGCGGAGGTAGTGACGAACATTTCAAATTATATAGAATAGGACTTTGGGATTGAATGGCCAAGTTCACCTTGTGCGAATCCTCTTCTGCTTCACTCTCCCGTTCAACAGCCAAGCTAAGACACGGGTCAGACTGTATGGATTGTACACCGAGCACCTTCGGCCCTTACACACCCTAAGCCCTCCACCTTTCTGACCTTTCTGAAGCCTAGCTCTTACGATCCCTAATTCCTAAGCAACTCTGAACCCTAACTCTCACGAACCTTTTGTACCTTTCATCCTTAAATAGCCCCATAAACACCCCAAAAATCTGCATCCTAAACTCTTACGAACCCTTTTTTGGCCTTCATCCTCAATCATCACCCCCCCAAAAAAAACACACCCTGCTCTCCAAAAGCGCCCTGAACCCCTTTTCGGCCTTCATCCTCAATCATCACACCCCCNNAAAAAAAAAAAAAAAACACCCTGCTCCAAAGGGCCCACCGGATACATCGCCATCGTGGAAGGCTCCGCATGCTTGGCGGCCCACGCCATGAGACTCTGACCTCGAAAAGGCGAGTCAATCGAGGGTTTTTAGTTGAACGCACGACAAACAG